TGATAGTGTTACTAGGCATATTGTGTATGTTTTACAAAGGTGGATGGTGTTACTATACTTACATAGGACTGTATACAAATTTGAATTTGTCTCAACTTATGTTTATATTTTCCAAGTATATATTACATGTGTATATCTAGAAGGATAGTGTTACTAACAACATTTAGTACGTTTATCTAATGTTTTCATAAATATTGAACGACACAGCTGATTGTGTTTTTATGATTTAGTATATGTTTAATGTACTGACTATAGTTTTTGCTTCCATATTTAATCATATGTTTTGCATTTCCTGACGTTTTATACGTAAAACATTTTCATTTCAATAATTAATATATAACGTCTTTTCGCCCTGAAAAGGACAATTATTTAAATCTCATGTTGACTGCTACAGTTTAAAGAATTACTAGTGTAGAAAATCTTACCTTTTTAATTTTGAACATTAAGTGAAATATATGAGTGTTCTTTCTGCTTTTATCTGAGGTCATTAGCATTGAACACAAATTATAGAAAGGTCAACACATACAATCACCTAATTATGTGGTCGCTTCAATCTTATTGGATATTTAGTCTGATGTGATGTCGACCTTTTACTAAGAATTCAAGTTCAGTATGGCACAAAGGTTTTATGAATAAGTCAATTATAATACACTGCATATGTTCATATTTATGATTATGCATTCATTATTAAGATATGACTCTCATATTTAATACTGAACATAAATTTTTCAAATTCTACATAATCATATATTTTTTACGTAAATTCAAAACTAGTACATTATACATTTAAAGTTCACTATACTTTAACTTAACTAGAGCTTTTGCATATCACTGAATTTAAGAGTCAATAAATATAGCTTCCTGGTTCTTTTACTTTACATAGTGTTATAAAACACTAAATGTATATTCAAGATGTTCTATTTCTCAATATTTGATGGGACATGTATATTTTAGTTATTGTAGAATTCTTGTTTCCATTCTGTTCAATTAGACTCCAAGAAATGATTACTCACGTTTATAACACATATGTTTATCAATCTAATACAAGATTCCGCATAGATATGTTATCGTCAATGTATGTAAGTAAAATCACAAACTCTAAATAAGACCGATGTCACCCTTATTGAAACACGTATTAACAAAACTTCAAGATACACTACTATTTATGTAAACATCTTAGTTTATAAAATACCGGATTAGCTTTCACACAACTTTTATACATTATGTCAATATTACTACTTGTTCATTTGAGTTAAGTATGTAATATTACATATAGTTTATAAACAATAGTATACAATTCTTGTATTTCAACCGTACTTTACTGTAGGTTTTCTCTCGGTTCAGTGTCTACAGAGCCCTAAGGATCCACTAAAGTATCTGCAGCAACTACAAAATGAAGCTCATAACTATTACGATTTTCTGATGGTAACAGCAGAAGTCAGGTATGAAAGCCACACTTCAAACTAGTGTAAAACGTATGCTTGATCCTATATAATTTTTTCCCATCTACTGGATATCCAAGTGAATAAAAGTACATCCTTACCACAAATATTTATTTACCATGTAAAAAGAGCATTTTTCTTAATCTAAAAATTCAAACAGTTACTTAAATTATCATGAAACGTTTCTACTGCTATCAGCACACGCCACTACTATAGTAGCTGGATAATATTTTTATGCTACTATGATAAGTTTTATTATTCTAGAAAACGTGTGCGATATTGTCATGACACGTTTGTGCCACTATCGTGACGCGTCTCTATACAAGTATTAAGACCATTCTCTTCAATCATTCACGACAGATTTGTACTCTACCATTACGTATTTTTACTGACTATTATGACACTTATGCTCAGTCATTACAGGTTCCTACCGACTGTCACGATAGGTTCCTACTTTATCGTTACAAGTTTCTACCAACTACTATGATAGGTTTCTATTCTGCCATATAGATTTCTGCCGATTACCATATGGATTTATACTGACTACCAGGACATGTTTCTACTCTGTCGTTACACGTTTTTTTTACCAACTACCGCGATAGGCTTATACTGAGTACCATGACTCTTTTAAATCTATCAGAATGACCTGATAATTTTTGGTTATGATAACTGGCTTATCATGGTTAGTTCACGTTTTTTTTCGTCCATTTTAGTCTGTACAGTGAATTTTAATATATAATAGTAATAATAGGGCGTTATAGTGTAGAAAGACGTGTGGCTTTGACTTTAGTGATATGTCGCATATTAAAAATATTTTAAATATATTCCATCTGTAGCTAGAATCATGAGGATCTGAAAAATCAATAGTAGGACGAATTTTCCTAGTATTACAAGAGGTTCTAGATTCGTATCTTAAATATTAGACCAGCTGTTAGTATGTCTCCGCAGTGTTACATTTGTTTCAAAGAAACTTCACTATTAAAAATTTCGTGATTTAGGTTTGCTCATTCTTTGCACTTAAACGTACGGACTTAGTCTTTTACTTATTTACAAGGAGAAAAGCAGTGATTATTGGTGCCATCTGGAGAGTGATATTCAACCATATATATTTTCCCCTTTAAATAAGCCGGTAGAGATGCCACATGGTCAATGATCTTCATTCATTATCCATCTCTTTTTCCGTTTAAACAGTTTAAAAAAGACCATTTGTTCTCAACATAATTTAAATGGTCTCCAAACATTATGCATCCTCTTCATCTTTAGACAATTCAATAGAAATAATTCCGTATTATGTGGTATTCAATCATCATGTATCCCTTACATGTTGGTGCCATCTGGTGGCCTTAATTATGTACCCCTTGCATTTTTATAAAGGCTCCCCCCCCCCCAGTGGCACAATGGTATAACGCTAGAAACCGGGTTTCGATACCCATGATGGGCACAGCACAGTTAGCCCATTGTGTAGCTTTGTGCTTTACTACAAGCAAACACACCTTTTAATTGTATACGGTAGAAATTAACTGTTCATACTTGCTCCTATAGGAAGCTAAACATTTGTATTACAAATATATGCTAACTACTAAAACGAATGAAATATATATCACCTAATCTTATTTTTAAAATATTTATTGTAAAAAACAACAATAAAGAATAGCACTGCCCATGTAGGGATGGCTCGGATTGTTCATCGAAATGATATTTTGAATACCTCCTCAATAGGTCATCCAAACTTTATAATACTATACAGTGTTTCCTTTTATAACAATATCTATGTAATGACTGAGTCACAAGTTCTGGAAATGTCTGTAGATATCAGAGCAAAAAGTTTGAATTTCTTGTTCTTCTTTCTTCTGCTTCTTTCTTATTAGATGATAACTCAAACCCAAAACAATGATGTCCGCAAAATTCATTGAGGTGACATAGTTTAAAACGTCGTATCCGCTTTTATAAGTATTATTAATAATTAGTAGTGATTGAAAAAAAAAATCTTGTGTAAACGATGTTATCAATACCCCTCGAAGTTAACTTATTTACATAAATAGTACGGGATGAAACAGGAATTACCAGCCAATAATAGATAAATAAATATTACATTTGGAACTTCATTGTATTTAGAACTTGGTTATAAATACAACCTTCCTATGTCTGTTGAAACACTGCATTAAAATACAAGCAAACAAGTAAAGAAAATACTTTTCTAAAAAGGAAATAAATGTGGGGATGGCTAATATCAATCCTTCAAAATAATGGAAACAAGATAGCAGGGATGACATTTATATCATCACTACATAATAGCACAAGCAAGAATTAACACGTAACAATATATAGAACTATTGAATTACAATTGAGTTTAACTTATCCTATTTTTGTCTGTTAACATTATACTATACTTTGTGCCTGTGATATTATGTATGGATGATGCAAATAACATCCCTACTATCTTGTTTGCAATGTTTTTGAAGGATTGATAATAGCCATCCCTACATTTACTACCTTTTTTGAAGAGTATTTTCTTCACTTGTATCATAATAGTTACACATTCATTCCATTACACTGGACTTCGTTATGTTCAGAAATATTAAAGAAGTTTTTATCCCCAGGAATAAGTAATGAATTAAACAATGAGAAGTTTTCTGCTGTTTTTGTTGTTGTTTTTTAGCCACCAGGATTAACTATTAATTCTCTGTGTGGAAGCGTTTAAAGCTTTCCAGTTAATTCTAGTGCATGTCATTTCCTACCTTCTTTAACTTTATACTGTGAAACACAATAATTTCACCTCACATAAACATACAAACTACACCACCTGGAGTCAGAAAAATCTTCATTTAGTTACATTTTTAAGACTAGTCAAGGTAGACTGATGCCAGTCGAAACTATAGTTCTCGGTTTGTTGTTTCGTGAGTTTTGTTATGAAGTTATACACCTCGTTACAGGCCAAACTGTAATCATATACAACAATGAGGATATTATGCCTTAATTCAAGATGTTGAACATGTGTTAAACGGAAGCAAGATTTCACTTTATCTTATTTTAACTATCTGGTTACAAATTTAGTCAGCACAAAAACCATCCGGGGAAATAATTTCAGTGTTGTAAAACGCTTCTTGTGTATGGAACAATGACAAAACATTGCCTGTGATCTTACTACCCTCAAAATTTTGATTCAGTAATGATATAGAGTGTTAAGTAGTTAATAGTCTTAAAACTTTCAAACACTCTAGTGGTGGGTATACGTCTACCTTTCAATTTCACTCCCTTAGGAATTTCTGTTTGTCAAACATGGCTGATGATTAAGACACAAACTTGATGTTATAGCACCTATTTAAGAACTTTTGTTTGTCAAACATGACTAACGATTCAGACACAAACCTGGTATTTTGGCACTTCTTTAATTATTTCTGTTTTTAAATATGACCGGTGACACACATGTACAAACCAGGCTATGGCCTTAGGAAGCGGTAAGGCCAGTCAGGCCATGGTCTGCCCACTTTTTGATAGTACTAGACCCCACTAGAAATGGCAAAGTGGCAATGGCCTGACCACTCCAAAACTGCTTCCTACGGCAATGTAGGCGAATTAGAAACTCTTTAAGAACCTCTGTTTGTTAAATATGGCTGATTCAGATATGTACCTCGTATTTTTAAGACTTCTTTTAACATACATTGCTTATCATATTCAACTGTTATAATTTCTAGTTTTATATCTATTTTGCAGAATGGTGATTTTTTGTCTTTGTTTCCTTCTTTTACACATAAAATGAGTAACATCAATATTTTTTTTACCTACATAAGAGAATATATATCTAATTTTTGTACTTTATTTTGAACAGTCCATCAAATGGTGTTCACGCCTACTGCTATTGTAATTGTTCCGAGAAACCACCTGTTGTTTTAGGCCCTGGTAAGTATTAACGTAAACAGAAAAGGAAATGGGTTTTAGGAACTAAGTACATGCTTGGAAGGAGCAGTGGGATGATAGGTATAAAAAAACAAATAGAAAAGATAGGAGGTTCTTATTTTATATTCTAGCTTGTCAATATCACTAACTTGAGTTTTTAATTCATAAGAAACTTGAGATGTTGTGTTTGGATATCACAAACATATAATTTGAACCAGTGCTGCATTCAACATACCACGTGACACACAGAAAACGATATTTAGGTGTGTTCATTTAATATTTACCTTTAAATGAAGAAATTAC